AATTAGATCCTTAATAAAACTTGAAAGCTTTCAAATCATGGGAAACGTACCTAACACTAACACACTCAAGATAATCTGCAAGACTTATTTTGACATTCCAAGTGTTGATTTCGTAAACCATTAGGAAATCGAAAGACCAACAATTTGTTCGCGAAAAGTTGGTCCTTTTGTGGACGTAAGTGACATTATTCTTTTGTGACTTTATTGTTATTATAGTGTTTGCGTCAACAATAACATATACAAAAATAAAAGTAAGGTGCTCCATTTTTGTGAAGGTCAAGCACATAATGAAATATTGGGTTCGTATAACAAATATAAGGCGGTTTATATAACGATCCATGTGACATTTTCCAAATGCCAGGGTTGATACGCAAATGGTGACTACTCCACCAAAGAAACGATCTATTTTTGTATAATTTGTTATTGAGCCGAGTATTCTTGCGTGATCGTTCAGTGGGTTTGATTTAGTAAAGGATGTCCGCATAACGACATTCATTAGGTTCTTTGATGACAAACTATTTTCTTCCAATGCTTTTGAATAGTAAATTAGTGTCTACTACCTAACTTTACTTGTACTTAGTCTGACTTCATTTATTCACAAACACTACAGAGTTTAATGAAATTGGTCCTTTGTTACAACAAAGGACCAAGTCCACGTACAAAGATAACGTCACACTAACACCATGACATTATGCTTCTCTATTGTATAATCCAAAACATAAGCGGTGCCTCAAAAACAACCTTGTCCTAGATACTGGCCTGAAATTTTAATCGCATGTCAACAGTACCATTGGCATCTACTCGTTAAAGGTATTAGGTATAATTAGTACTGCAAACAATGGACGGCTGATGGGAGATAAGATCTGCGATGGATTCACTGGACAATGTGATATAGATAACTTTGATAAGCCGGCCCTCCATGTACCTGAATAAACTGGAAGGTAATTAGGGCTTGAGTAGTAGGCTTTGCATTTCCAGAGCTAAGAATACTATTAAACTTCTTGCGAGTTAATTACAGAGAAATAAGTGTTTCAGTGCAAGCTCTTTTTTTATAATGAAAGCGTTCAGCTTCTTGATTGTGTAGATTAAACCAAAACTGTTCTGTTTCCAACAATACTGTACACATTTTTATTTTAATAAAGCCTTGCGAAATAGATGTATATAAAGTTTATACCGATTATCTTCAAAGACGGGATAAGCTGTAAAAAGCGCTATTCAAAACAACAATTCCCACGTAAATAAAAGACTCGCCAAAATATCTAACCGTAAGATGCGTGCGCGCAGGTGTACATGTGACAATGCGCACCAATTGTGCAGGAATCCTGCGCTGTCGATCCTTGTAACGGAATACTGTCAGAATCTGATGGAGTACGAGTACAAATACATATTACTTATTTCTTGCATTGTGTCAAATTCCAAATTATAGGTTTTGAAGTGTGTCATATTGCCAAGGATGGGCAGTTCGTGTTTGTGTACACCCTTATAGGTTAAGCAGATAAAGTAATGATGCTCATGAATTACTCAAATTTAAATGCTAATCAAGTTTAATATAAAACGCGGCTAGACAGTTAATTCAAAAGGAAAGGAACATCATTTCAAAGCCCTCCGCCGTTTATAGTTTCGTTTGAAGTATTTGTAACCGTTTTGTTTTTATTGCCGTTTCAACTGAAGACCGTTTCTGTGTCACTCTACTTTATGGTTCCATGTTTACTCTATGATTTGATGATAGAATGTTTTACTTTTCTTTTATTGCGTTCACATTGCTGTAATACTTATACTTATTTCAATTAGAACTTTGTTCGAAATATGATAGTTTTTCTATTACTGTTATGTGACTTTTAAATATTCCCGTTACTCCATAGTTGAGTTTATATCCGTCAAATTAACCGCTTTACATTGTTGATCTACAAAAAGTTTTATTTATTTCACATGTCACGAATTTCTCGCGCAGCTGTCGTCATTTCACGGATTTTTGTAACTCTTCTTAGGGTTCCTTTCGATAATATTGTACCTCTGTTGCTCATGTTTGACTTTTATATTTGATTATTATGTGTACATATTTTACCTCGTGTAAAACGCCATCAAAGATTGATTACTGCAAAATACGACCTCGTTTATGTTTCTAAATGTAATTTTGCGTGTCAAAACTATACACAACAAACAATATTATTATATTAATTATGTTTTTTTTTCGAGTTGACTGAACTTCTGAATTTCAAGTCCTAGAAAGAAATAAGCTTCAGAACCCACAAAACTGGCACTGCACTTTCCAAAGCTGAATATTCACAATAAAAATAATTGGTTATAAGGTCAGCCCACTAATCGCTGCACCCTTTGCTTCCCTGGCAACAGCTTGGGGCCACAATAGCTTTTTTTACCTCTAACGGTACGCAGTAGTGCCTTGACGCAGGTAGATGCGTCTGCGCAGCCGCCCGTTTCTGGGGATTCAATTCTTTGATTTACCATTTCTTTGAACTTTCTTAAGCTTGGGCTATAATTATCGACGATATAAGTACAAGTTTGTGCTGCAATGTGTTTTGTTTGATACAATCTGTTTGTATGTTCCTATTGTAACCAACCTTGAATCTAAGTATTGAAAAAATAAGAATATTTGTGAATCCCATTCTAACAATTAAAGATCAAATTGATGCAACACCTGTGTGTTGTAATGATGTCATTTGTCTAACAGATACACAAATTTGTATATGCTTTTAGTAAAACAGCTTCTGGTTATTCAGTTCAGTTAATGCAGTATAAATATACTTTAGTTTGGAATATTTGCCATGGCATGAGTCATTCAACATTTACACAAATTATTTAGGTATAACAGAAATCAATTGTTGTGAGGCCTCGGTGCGCCGTAAGCGGAGCTTTGGAAGGACGCGTGTCACTAACAATAACAAATGTAACAAAAATCCTTTTCTCAACAAACTAATGGCGTAGTAATTAGATGACAAACAATGTAACGTTACATTCAGCGTTTGAATAGAGCCCCGCGCCCTTGCCTCTTTGTCACAGCAGCGGTGAAAGTAAAAGTATGTACATATTGTAATGAACGGCGCCCATTTTACGACGATACAGAAAACATTGTAATGAAAGGTGATAAAAACAGGGAAATAATTTCTAAAAATGCCCTCAATAGATCTCAATAGAAAGTGTTTCGGCTTCAACCCTGTGAGGTTGGAAGTAACGTTACAAATTATGACTGCTATAACTATTATACAAGCCCTCGGGTACTACCTATTGCTTCTTGTATAATATGTCTGCAAAAATCACCATGAAGACTGCAGCTCGTCTTGGATTCGGTTCATGTGTACTAGGAAACTGGTATCTTATTACCAATAAACACATTCACATCCTTAATAATGATTGGAAGCGAAGGCTTTGTTAAGTATCGTGTTACTCAACTATAGTTTGCCTTGCATGTCACGTAGAGTTGGGCACGCGTCCCTCAGGACCAATTCTCCTGTTCAACGGAGCGTTGAACTTGAAGAAATATCAGATTTTAATGTAGAAAACACGATCGTACCATTTTATCTCTTAAAATACTTTGTAGAAAAACTAATCAAAATGTTTTGATCTTCCGAGAAGAGCGTTATTTTTTTCGCAATATTAATTTACGCTGCACTGCAAATTCAACTTATTGAACAAAATTATTTACTCCACTATTATTGTTAATATCGAACAAAATGGTACCAATACATTGTAAGATACTATAGTACGATATTTGACATCTAAGAAACATGACAGTATGTTGGATGCACGCACAGGAGCCAACCGACCAGTGATGCCATTCCTCGTGCGCGATGGTCCATCCACATGTTCGGTCTGACAGGGATACATAAGATTCTTTATACGCACACCAATGCGCTAAGGCATACGCTAGTTTGAAAGCAATTTGCCGAAAGGACCAACTTAATTTATTGGTCCTTTGTTCCGCAAAAAAATTATTAATGCTATTCAAAAAATTATAAGCAGAAAGTTTGGTAATGATTCACTTAAATTAAGAATGTTTTTGATATGATAGCTTTCAAGTAGGCGTTGCTGGAAAACTACTAAAGCAATTTCACAACACAAACGTCTTTGCGAACTATAAAACGACTAATGATAATAGGTTAACTTTTAAACTTTCGCGTTTCATCTTAAGAACATTATATTTACGCGGGTATTAACGCGGAAAATTATAATTTGAATACCTTGGTAGGCTTGACGTTTCTATATGAGAACTATAAGGGATAATCCGGATATTTTAGTGCTTAAGGCCGACAAGGGAAACGCCACTGTAGTGATTAATACGTCTGATTACCACAATAAAATACGGGAGTTACTGAGTGATGACAAAGTTTACAAGCCGGTCTCATATAACCCTACGGCCCGAGTAACACGGAAAATACGAGCTCTAATTCAAGAACATAAGGACCTATTTACAGAAGATGAGTACGAAAGGCTATATAAACCTAAGGCACATCAACCGCCTCGACTGTATGGCCTACCTAAAATACATAAGTCCAACGTGCCATTGCGGCCTATTGTAAGCCAAATTGCCTCACCGACTTATGATCTTGCAAAGCACGTTGCGTCAGTACTACAACCATTGGTAGGAAAAACATCTTCTTTTGTAAAGGACTCGCGCGACTTCATCCAGATTGTAAAGAGCCTGAAGTTGGAACCTGATGAACTCATGGTGAGCTTTGACGTTGAGTCGTTATTTACCAATGTGCCAATTAAGGAGTGTCTGGATGTTGTCAAAGATGTACTTAGTGACAATGACATGCCCCACAACTATATTGATTTGCTGAAACACTGCCTGGATGGAAATTACTTCCTTTTTCAAGGCCAACATTACCTTCAAATCGATGGCGTAGCCATGGGAAGTCCAGTGGCCCCTGTGTTAGCTAATCTTTGGATGGAACACTTTGAAAAACAGGCATTGAGCCTCGGCCCAAATACCATCAGGCTTTGGAAAAGGTATGTGGATGACATTTTCAGCATTATCAGCAACAGCATCCACCCAAAAATGCGTTTTACTTATGAGCTGGAGACGGGCAGGTCGTTGTCATTCTTGGACATTAAAATAACCGCGAGATCAGATGGGTCCTTATCGCACTGTGTATACCGAAAGCCAACTCACACTGATCGGTACCTACATGCAAAGTCACATCACCACCCCCGACACTTACAATCCGTGATGATATCACTAAAAAACAGAGCATATGACCTCTGTGACCCTGAACATCTGGGGCAAGAGCTAGACCATGTTCAGGAGGTACTTAAAAAGAACGGATATAGTGTAGGGGATGGGCGACTATTGCGACCGCTGAAGAGAGCCAGACATCCAAACGTGAGCAGACAACCTGCCTTCATGCCTTATATCAAGGGTGTGACAGACAAGATAGGATCCGTCCTTAAAAAGTTTTCGATCCCGACGATCTACACACCTGAGGCTAAACTTCATGATAAGGTAGGCACGGCGAAGGATGTACTGCCGCTACAAAGCCCAGGTGTTTATAAGATCAACTGCAGCTGCGGTAGTTCCTACATTGGGCAAACGAAGCGGACCATTGCTGAGAGGCTCAAAGAACATATCGCCGCAGTCAAAAACCGACAGAGCAACAAATCAGCGATAGCAGAACACCTGCTCCAGGCTGGTTCTAATCACTGGGTAGAATTCCACCGACCGCAAATTCTCTCCACTGATCGCCACTACCATACAAGACTTGTGCGTGAAGCGGTTGAAATAAAGAAATGCCCAAATAATTTCAATCGGGAGGACGGCTTTAAATTGTCGTCGACGTGGAATCCAGTGCTTCGCAAAACACAACCTCGCTTTCCTTCAAAGTCGGTTAACACATCTGTGGATATAATCAGCGTAGTGTGTAGACGGCCTAATATGGTAGAAAATGAAAATAAGGGGGTAGATGAAGATTCATCACCCGAATGCGGGGAGCTGTGACATCGCGTCTTCAGTCTGCTTGTGACCACGACCTGTGCAACCGGGTCGAAACGTCAAGCCTACCAAGGTATTCAAATTATAATTTTCCGCGTTAATACCCGCGTAAATATAATGTTCTTATGATAATAGGTTAATATTTTACAAGATAAAACATTTTCCTTAGTAAGGAATTCAGGATAATATCTAAAAAGTGACACACGGTCCTCAGGGGACTGTGTACCGACCGACTTTGTAACAAAAAGGTCAGTTAAAGAAACATAACATATACACTTCCGGCTAGTTACGTAAATAATTGTTGGGATCATTATAACAATTTCTTACACACGAGTATATTATGAACACTTATGCTGTAATAACTTGGCATTTGTCTGGAATTTACACAATTATTGTGGTCAGGTGGACTTTGATATCGAAATCAAGGCAAAATTATGATGGCGATCTTGCGAGACCTGACTTGCTCTGGTTCAAGAATGAAGTTGACAAAGTTCAAGAAAACATAATTATCTATATTACAATCCTATAAAGCAACCCTAAATCTGATATGGTAAGAAAATATTTTTGCTACAAAAGTAAATTTGGCAAAACTATAAAATTCAGGAGACCTTTTACCAATCGATACAAAATCCAGTTCATTAGCCTATGGTGTAATTGAATCGCTAATACCTAATATCCGCTAAAGCTACAATTGAAATAGTATTTTCTAGCTGATAGTTGTTATTTGAATAACAATTACTTTTTTACTTAACGAACATAGATAATTTTGGTTGGCACTACTTCATTCTCGAATTTCGACTTCAGAAAGGAGGTTTCTTAATTCAACCGTATATATGTTTTTTCACATTAGCTGTAGTAATCTCTACCTATCATATAAACTAATAAAAAAAACAATATACATACTTTAATAAATTACATGTAACAATTAAACACATATGAATTTCTCAAACACGTACGTCATTACCCAAATAAAGAATAGCACTATTTTCAGAACAATAATTAATTTAAATAATTAATTATCTGACTTAGGTACTTACATTGTTCTTTGAATTGCTCTCAGTATATAAAACTGACGTGGTAATGATAAAATATATCGTGTTGCGTATAACGTAACTGTTTGTGATTATTAAAAAAGTTCACATTATACTTTTAGCAGTTATAATTCTCATTTTTGATATAACATATGTTTTACATGATGCCCTCTCCCGCGAATAGCTAAAACGAAATAATTACCCTCCTGGGATTATCAATTACTCATCGAACATTCTGAGTGTAAACTCATTGAATCCTTTTTATTATATCAACGGAAAAAGGGCTTGGCCCAAGTCTTATTGCAACAATAATCGAAATATTTCACACTTCAGCTTCTTTCGCATTTGACGTAGAAAGGAATTAACGTGGCAAGGTGCGTAGCGTACCTTCTTAGTTGCATTTACACAATATTATAGATGACTAATGCATCAACGATGATCAATCAGCCTCTAAGTTCTTTAGTTTATTTATTTATTTATTTATTTATTTATTTATTTATTTAATAAAAAGGTTTACCAACAGCTTCTGTGTAGATAACACTTAAAGTACATTTTTTTACATTACTAGGACTTACACAGTTGCCAATTATAGGTTAACCAACATTCCCAAAATAATGATAGGATAAGTACATACCAGCAGAACTAAAATGAGTAACAAGTATCCAATATTAGAGAATTGTACCAAGCTATGCAAACAATGAAACAAATATTATTAACGCGAACATAAACAGAATCAAAGACGTTACAGACATTTGTACATAAAAATAAAAAAGAAAGTGACAAAAAATTACAAAAAATTACAACATTTACAAAAATACCCACTACTAATAACATATATTAATTTTTTTGTGAGAACACCGTGAGATCATGACTTAGTAACTAGATAAGTTTATATAAAACTATTAAAAGTAGAATAAAAACTAAAACTAAAATAAAATAGAATAGAATACTTAATATAGCATTTTACACGACATTTTGACGATGTTGCGATCTATGGAATTCCCGTAATTGTGCCCTAAGGTTATTAAACGAGACACTGTGATATATATATAGGTATAACCCTTTACGTGTCTTGTGACGTAGTTGAATGATAGTTGTCACAGTTTTTTTTTTCTGTAATTCGTAATGTATTTTCTTTTTCAAGACTTATCTGTAGTAGGTATGAAGAAGTTTTACACATTTTTGTTTTAAACTTTTTAAATTATGAATTACCTACTAAAATACTATATACCTATGCGTTGCAAGTTCAAGACTGAGCTCAGAAGTTCAAGTTTGGAACTCTCTCACCCCATCCAGAGCGGGAGAAGTCATTAAATGCTTTTTGATTTTAGAGAAAAGTATGAATTGCCGTCTATTTCATTAGGAGTATTGACGACATTCTTATTGAGGGAAAGCAGGAAAAAACTCCTATTTAAGATGTCTGGTTTACGATGTTGACTTGTTTATCTCACCTTATACATAGGATAGATACAATACGTTATTTTAAACGTCATTTGTTTTCTTCCACTCAGATTTGTACGAAGGAAAAGGATTCTTTAAAGAAAATACCTATGGCTCAATATGGTGACAGAATACGTCAGTAATGTATACAATTATTCTATGTTCAGGGGGTTTTGTGATAATATACGTAAACTGTACATACCTAATAATATGTAGGGAAAGTCAAATGTATAATGTTTGTTTTGAACTTTCATACTTCAGTTTTCTTAGTAAATTAAGTTATAGGTTTTATAACCATTTAAATAAAGCTCTTTATTTTTTACACCTTTAATAAATCATAACATATGTAGATACAGTTTTATAATCTCAAGGTCAGAAATTATTTTGCGCACGCAATTCAATGCTGCATTATTTTGCTAATTTAATTTAATTTGACAGATATAAACACGTTGTAATATATTATTATGGATCTAAGGCCACTACTCATTCAATCTTTATAAACAAAAGCATACAGTAAGACACACATCAAAGTGATATTTACAAACTAAAAATCTGTTCAATATTATAAAAAGAATCCTCGGTACGTGTGTATTTCTTCTTGCAAAATCGAAAGTAAAAATGCAAAACACACTCACACATCCATTTTTTTATTTACACTTATATATTTAGGTCAATAACATACGTAGACAAGATGGGCACTTGTCAAAAATATTGAATGTTAACAATATTTAGAACACATCCTACCTACTACGCTCTTTGAAAGTAGGTTATCATAAAAAACAGACGTTTACGAGTTTTGTCGAGTCCATAAAATGGCTACTAACTAGGTATCATCGAAATAAAAGCATTCTATAAATACAACGTTAGTCCTAGGGTCTCTATTATTGGTACGACAAGGGCGTATTACTAGTATTGATGGAAGATAAACTACATTATGAACCCCCTTGTGGGAGTATACTGACGTCATAAGCTATCGTATGACCCATCAGAGCCTCGAGGACGCCAAGTGGAGGACAACAGACGCAATAAGTGTGTCAGGGAAAATGTTTAGAAAGGTTTTTTATTCCATTACCATCAAAGCCCATCGGGAAATGAAAAAGACTACAATCGATTGCTATTGAAATGAAGCTTTCATACCACGAAAACGGGTCAAAGTACAACAGCTGTTCTTATCAAGTTGGTCCTTTGATCCGCGCTATAAAACGTTATTAATTATGGTCATTTTCAATCATCTCTGGTCGATATTGAGGTAAGTCTGGCGCCGTTTTTCTAAAATCCAAATTTCTAATTCCCCTCTGATAGAAATCTTTTTCAAATAGTCCTTACAAAAGAGTCCGTGACATACGGGTGCAATGAAAAGAATGGGATGAACAGTGTCGCAGATTTAGGTCATCGATATGTTACACACGTGTGGTGAACTAACACGGGTTACTATTGACGCAGTTACTGAATTAGTTACAGTTCTCCCGCAACATGTAAATAATATACGATTCTTTATCTGATCCCAGATTTAGATACATTTTTGTAGCACTAGATTTTTCATTTAACTTTATTTCTTAACGGAATTTACTCAAAGAACATTGAAAAGTGTAAGTTATTCCGATTAAATATCGAAAGCTATCAACATGCCAGTCAAGTTATTAATATCCGACGACATGCAATTCAATAAATTGTCAAAGCATTCCACCATCATCGGTCCTGAACGTGTCTCAAGTCGGGATTGTGTTTATAAATAGTTTATAAATACTGTAATAATGTTACCGGTTGAGCTTGAGATCGTAAGTGGAGTTGCGTGCTGATGGACACTTGTTTTGCGCGCATTCGTCCAGAGCCAAGGATGTAAAGGAATGACTTAATGCCAGGGTATGCGCTGTTCTAGTTATAACCAGCTAGAAACGAGTAGGTAAGGCTTTGAAATACACATTATTTTACCACGAATAAATCCATATTTTGCCATTATCCTCAAATGTTCGAATAGCTGTGTTTATTTTAGTACCTGCTCGCTGTATTTTACAATTCCCTCGTTACATATTATTTCCTTCTGTCTTGTTCTCAACTAAAGTTACAAAATTAAAGAATTATGGATATTACTTCATCGATGAATAATAATAACATTTAAAGTAAGTTGTACATATGTGGTGCATAATATAAGGTCTTATGATACCAGGCCAGCAATGAGTCAGGACTCTGAGCTCACTCTGACATCAACAAATTGCCATTGCACGAAAGATTGCACTCCAACATCCTTGCAGATTTCAAATATGCGTAGGCGATTACTCTACAATTCACTAAACAATTACGTCACTTTGCTCTTGTCGAGCTCTACCAGCATTCTGACAGCTAAGGGTAAGACATTCACGCAACAAACACCTCTAGGCGTTCAATGAGTTACATGAAAGCGAGCACTGTTTTTGAATCGTGCGTAATTGTCGCGTGCAAGATCCGACAAAGTGCCCGGAGGTGTCTTCCGCGTTAAGATTTTTCGCTAAATTAAAACGAACAGTGCATCAAATGTTGTGTTATGCCGGCGATTGATATAATGTCGTAAAAACTCAATAGCAGCGTGAGTCAGGCGAGCTTACGAAGTTAAACAACAACCCCGTAGCGGGCGTAGAGCGTCCCCGGCTCTACGATAC